CAAATAAATATAATATTAAAAATAATAATATAATATAATAATTAATACCCCAATTTTTAAAAAAATATATATTACCATAATAAAATATTATAATAATATAATAAAAAAAATTACCCAACAACAAATTCAGCAGAAATGCGTTCTAACAAATGATGACGGATCTGCATGTTCATGAGGGAAAGCAGGATTTGATCCCCTATCATTCCAGCAGGATTTCTGGCTCCCAGGTGTGCACTCATACAGGAAACAAGCTGAGATGAAGAAGCAGTCTCTAAAAGGAGTAGCTGCCTAATCACATGGGTGTTCCCTGTATAGATAGGGTTGTGGGGACAGACACCTGTCCACAGGAGCACATCAAACCCATCAGATTCCAAACTCTCCACCATGGGCTAAGACCAAAGAGCAGTCCCAATTATGTCAGGGGACAAGATGTAGTAACCTACACAAGGCTGGGACTGGGCTACCAATACTTATGGCCAAAGCAGCATTGGTGAGGAAGGAGACAACAGTTGGGTGCAATCAATTCACAAATGGAAGAAACACAAAACAAGTGTCAGTCCTCCCTAGGTACCTGTTGCACCATTGCAAGATCTCCACTCGTGGAGAGGTCAATGATCATGAGAACAGTGAGGAATGCATGCCCAGAACTACACGTGAGGATCATGTCAATGAGCTCCATCTGGGACCACAGTCACCAAGAAAACAATTGGTAACACTCTACGCCGACAAGGACTGAAATCCTGCAGTGCCCCCGCACGGTCCCCTCTGCTCAAAGAAAGCCCATGTCCAGCCCCGTCTGAAGTCTGCCACTGAACATCTGAATGATGCCGAGGAGGACTGGTGGAAGTGTTGTGGTCAGAGGAGACCAAAATCCAGCTCTTTGGCATCAACTCAACTCGCCATGTTTGGAGGAGGAATGCTGCCTATGACCCAAGAACACCATCCCAACTGTGAAACATGGTGGTGGAAACATTCTGCTTTGGGGGTGTTTTTCTGCTAAGGGGGAACAGGACAACTGCACCGCATCAAAGGGACAATGGACGGGGCAATGTACCCTCAAATCTTGGGTGAAAACCTTCTTCCCTCAGCCAGGGCATTGAAAATGGTGTGTGGATGGGTGTTTCCAGCATGACAATGACCCAAAAACACACGGCCAAGGCAACAAAGGAGCGGCTCAAGAAGAAGCACATTGAGGTCCCGGAGTGGCCTAGCCAGTCTCCCACACCTTCATCCGATGGAAAAATCTGTGGAGGGAGCTGAAAGTTCGAGTTTGCCAAACGTCATCCACCAAACATTAATGACTTGGAGAGGATCTGCCAAGAGAGTGGCTAGAATCCCTCCTGAGATGTGTGCGAACCTGGGGGCCAACTCCAGGAAATGTCTGACCTCTGTGATGGCCAACAAGGGATGGCCACCAAGTACTAAGTCATGTTTTGTGAAGGGGATCAAATCCTTCTTTCCCTCATGAACATGCAGATCCGTCATCATTTGTTAGACGCATTTCTGCTGAATTTGTTGTTGTATTCTGTCTCTCAGTCTTACACCGAACATTCCATTGTTAGACCGATCGTTTCTGTGTGAGGGGCGAACATTCCATTGTTAGAACCGATCATTTCTGTGTGAGGGGCCAACATTCCATTGTTAGACCGATCATTTCTGTGTGAGGGGCGACCATTCCATTGTTTAGACCGATCGTTTCTGTGTGAGGGGCGAACATTCCATTGTTAGACCGAATCGTTTTCTGTGTGAGGGGGTGAACATTCCATTGTTAGACCGATCGTTTTCTGTGTGAGGGGCGAACATTCCATTTAGTTAGACCGATCATTTTCTGTGTGAGGGGCGAACATTCCATTGTTAGACCGATCGTTTCTGTGTGAGGGGCGAACATTCCATTGTTAGACCGATCGTTTCTGTGTGAGGGGCGAACATTCCATTGTTAGACCGATCGTTCCTGTGTGAGGGGCGAACATTCCATTGTTAGACCGATCGTTTCTGTGTGAGGGGCGAACATTCCATTGTTAGACCGATCGTTTCTGTGTGAGGGGCGAATATTCCATTGTTAGACCGATCATTTCTGTGTGAGGGGCGAACATTCAGCATCAGGGGGGGCAAATACACATTTCCTGCACTGTATGGAATGTATCCCTCTGTATGTACCCGTGTATGTGTAGTATATACTATGTATCTGTGTATATGACGTATATCCGTTGGCTGCCCCCCCCCCCCCCTTCCATTGGTGGATAATAATTCTCTCTTTGTCCTCCACAGACTCTCTCTCCACTCGACATTTACCCCAAAATCCTGGACTTTCGGCCCGTTACCATGGCAACATTTACCATGACCCTCGCCCGGGTCTGTCTGTGTCCTGTCGTAAGTGGTCATATGTGTCCTGTGACGTGATTGGTGGGCTGGTGTGGGGGAGGTCGTGCACAGGGTGTATTGGGAGGAGTCTAGAGACATGCGTCCTGTGATTGGTGGTCTGGTGTGGGGGAGGGGGTGCACGGGGTGTATTGGGAGGAGTCTACAGACGTGTCCTGTGACGTGATTGGTGGGCTGGTGTGGGGGGAGGTCGTGCACAGGGTGTATTGGGAGGAAGTCTACAGACGTGTCCTGTGACGTGATTGGTGGGCTGGTGTGGGGGAGGTCGTTGCACAGGGTGTAGTATTGGGAGGAGTCTACAGAAGTGTCCTGTGACGTGATTGGTGGGCTGGTGTGGGGGAGGTCGTGCACAGGGTGTATTGGGAGGAGTCTAGAGAAGTGTCCTGTGACGTGATTGGTGGGCTGGTGTGGGGGAGGTCGTGCACAGGGTGTATTGGGAGGAGTCTAGAGACATGCGTCCTGTGATTGGTGGTCTGGTGTGGGGGAGGTTCGTGCACGGGTGTATTGGGAGGAGTCTACAGACGTGTCCTGTGACGTGATTGGTTGGCTGGTGTGGGAGGGGGTGGCAGAGGAGGGTCTCTGGGGTGGTGGGCGGGTAGGTAATGTCGGGGACATACGTTGGCTCCTCCCCCGTGGTCACACTCGTGGCTTTTTTCTCCGCCCTCTTAGGTAGTCGGAAGAGGCAACGATCAGGTGGCCCATGTCCACCCAAATTCGAGACCAGAGAGGATCTGGGTAAGCTGGTCCCTCCCCCACTACCTTCCTGGGTCACCCTACAATGACCTCTGACCTCTGTCTCACCTTTGACCCCTCAGCCGTCATGCGGAATTATGGGAATCTTCTCCCTGGAAATGTCAGCCATTGTGGCCCGGATGGAATTGTGGGATTTTTCACCAGCTATCAGTACATGGAGAACATTGTGGCCTCGTGGTATGAGCAGGTACCTAACCCCTCCCCCTCCACCTCTTCCCATTGGCTGGAGAATGGCTTTGATGGGCACTGCTTAACATATGGGGTTTGTTCCGCCCCCAGGGAGTTCTGGAGAACATTCAACGGAACAAACTGATCTTCATAGAGACCCAGGACAGTGCGGAGACCAGCGTGGCCCTGGAGAAGTATCAGGAGGTGAGGCTGAGGGCCACAGGGGGGTTCCAGGAAGAGTCATGTGACCTCCTCTAAGCATCTCCTTCTGATTGGCAGGCGTGTGAGAACGGACGTGGCGCCATCCTGCTGTCCGTGGCTCGAGGGAAAGTGTCGGAGGGAATCGACTTTGGTGAGTCATCAGTGGGGGGGCCTCAGACCCTATCACGCCACTACACCCCTCCTCCCCCCTCCCTCCTACCCTACTATCACCACACTACACAACCACCTCCCCCTCTCCCCCCTCCTCCTTCCCTCCTCCTCCCCCCCCTACTATCACCCCACTACAACCCCTCCCCCCTCCCCTTCTATCCTCCTATCACCCCACTACACCCCTCTCCCCCCTCTCCTACTCCCCCCCCCCCCCCCACCCACTATCACCCCACTACACCCCCAATCACCCCACTACACCCCTCCCCCCCTCCTCCTCCCTATCCCCCCTCCTCCTCCTCCCCCTACCCTATCACCACCCTACACCCCTCCCCCCCCTTCCCTCCTCCTACCCACTATCCCCCACTACCCCCTCCCCCCCCCTCCTCCCCCCCCCCCCCTCCCTCCCTACTATCCCCCACCACACCCCACAACCCCCTCCCCCCTCTCCTCCCCCCCTCCTCCTACCCTACTATCACCCCCCCCCCCCCTCCCCCCCCCCCCTACCCCTACTCACCCCACTACCCCCCCTTCCCCCCCCCTCCTTCCCCTACCCTACTATCACCCCACCCCCCCCCCCCCCTTCCTTCCCCCCCCCCCCCCCCCTACCCAACTATCACCCCACCACACCCCCCCCCCCCCTCTCCTTCCCCCCCCCCTCCCCCTAACATCTTCCCCCCCTCCCATTCCTAACTATCCCACCCCCACTACACCCCCATTCCCCCCCCCCTCTTCCTACCCCTATCCCCCCCTTCCTCCCCCCCCCTCCTCCTAGTCTACTATCACCCCCACTACCCCATCCCCCCCTCCCTCCCCTCTCCCCCCCTTCTTCCTCCTTCCTCTCCTTCACCCCCCCCCCCCTTTCCTCCCCCCCCCCCCCCCCTTCCCTCCCCCCCCCCTCTTCCCCCCCCCCCCCCCCCCCCCCCCCCCTCCCCCCCCCCCTCTCCCCGCTCTTCTTTCCCCCCCCCCCCCCTCCCCTTCCTCCCCCCCCCCCCCTCCCCCCCCAACCTCCTCCCTCCTCCCCTCCCCTCCCTTCCTTTTCCCTCTTTCCCCTCCCCCCCCCCCCTCTTCTTTCCTCCCCCTCCTTTCCTCCGTCCCTCCCACTTCCCCCCCCCCCTCCCCCCCCCCCCCTCCCCTCCCCCCCCCCCCCTTCTTTCCTTCCTCCCCTCCCTCCTCTTCCGCCCCCCCCCCCCCCCTTTCCCCTCTACTTCTATCCCCCCAACCTCTCCATCCCCCCCCCCCCAATACTCCTCCATCATGCCTTCTCCCTCCCCCATCTCTCTCTCTCGGTGGTCTGACACTTGTCTCCTCCTCCCCGCGGTCCCCCGTAGGCTCGGCTGCAGTTCCTGCGGGGACCAGTTCCACCTGCGGGAGAACGACTTCCTGACATTCGATGCGATGCGGCACGCGGCGCAGTGTGTGGGGCGCGCCATCCGCGGGAAGACGGACTATGGAATTATGCTGTTTGCAGATAAGGTGAGCTGCCGATCGTTGTGTGTGATGTCATCGATAAGAGGACCTGTCTGCTCCGCTGACGCCCCCGCGCATGTCCTGGCCCCCGCGCATGTCCTCGCACCCCGCATGTCCAGACACCCCTCGCATGTCCTCGCACCCCCTCATGTCCTGGCCCCCGCGCATGTCCTGACGCCCCACGCATGTCCTCGCACCCCCGAGCATGTCCTGACGCCCCGAGCATGTCCTGGCACCCCTCGCATGTCCAGACACCCCTCGCCCCATGTCCTGACGCCCCACGCATGTCCTCGCACCCCGAGCATGTCCCCCCCGCCCCCAGAGCATGTCCTGGCACCCCTCGCATGTCCAGACACCCCTCGCATGTCCTGACGCCCCACGCATGTCCTCGCACCCCGAGCATGTCCTGACGCCCCGAGCATGTCCTGGCGCCCCGCCTGCATGTCCCAGACGCCCCCGAGCATGTCCAGGCGCCCCGCGCATGTCCAGACACCCCTCGCATGTCCCCCGCCCCACGCATGTCCTCGCACCCCCGAGCATGTCCAGACACCCCTCTCCATCGCATGTCCTCGCACCCCCCCATGTCCTGGCCCCCGCGCATGTCCTGACGCCCCCCCCAACGCATGTCCTGGCACCCCTCGCATGTCCTGGCGCCCCCCCCCGCATGTCCAGACGCCCCGCGCATGTCCAGACGCCCCCCGCATGTCCTCGCACCCCGCGCATGTCCCCCGCACCCCCCGCATGTCCTGGCGCACACCCCGCATGTCCCTGGCGCCCCGCGCATGTCCTGGCGCCCCCCCCGCATGTCCCCGCCCCACGCATGTCCAGACGCCCCCGAGCATGTCCTGGCGCCCCTCGCATGTCCTGGCGCCCCGCGCATGTCCAGACCTCCCCGGAGATGTCATCACTGTATATGAATGTCTTCAGAAATGTGTGTCCCCCCCCCCCCCTCACACGCAGACTCCGCCCACCACCGCGTGGTATTAGACTCCGCCCACCCCGCGTGGTATTAGACTCCGCCCACACGTCGTGGTATTGGACTCCGCCCACACGTGTGATCCGCGTCTTACGTTGTGTCCGCCCAGAGATACGCGCGCCCCCTACCGCTCCCGATAAGAGGGGGAAGTTACCCTGTGGATTCAGGAACATCTAACAGACGCCAATCTGAACCTGACGGTGGATGAGTGCGTTCACCTCGCCAGGCACTTCCTGCGACAGATGGCCCAGCCCTTCCGCAGGGTGAGTGGGGGGCCCCCCCCCAAAGTGTTGTATAATTAGATGTCGGGGGGCTTCAATCCAAGTATGGAGAGGTGGGAGCAAGCCAATGTCATAGTGTTTGGGGTTCCTGTCTGCACAGGGGGGGGGGGGGTTTTTGGGGGTGTCTGGGGGCCCCCTGTCTAGATGGTGTGGCAAGGTGGGTATTGGCCCCCCAATCCAAGCATAAGTAGGTGGTGTGATTGAGGCCCCTGTTTGCATAGTGTGTGGGGGGTTATTGGCCCCCCCCAGTCCCAAGCAAGAGTAGGTGGGGTGCTTGGGGCCACTGTCTTCATAGTGGGGGGGAGTTATCGGCCCCCCCCCCTCCCCCCCCCCAAGCATGAGTAGGTGGTGTGATTGAGGCCCCCCCTCTGCATAGTTGGGGGGGGGGGGGGGGAGCTTTTTGGCACCAGTCCAAGCATGAGGAGGTAGAGTGTTTGGGGCCCCCCCCCCCTGTGTATAGTGGAGGAGGAATGATGGGCCCCTGTCTGTATAGTGGAGGAGGAGTGTGTTGGGGCCCCCTTTGTGTATAGTGGAGGAGGAGGGTATGGGCCCCTGTCTGTATAGTGGGGAGGGAGTGATGGGCCCCTGTCTGTACCCCCAGGAGGAGGTTTGGGTGTTTGGGGCCCCTTTGTGTATAGTGGAGGAGGAGGGATGGGCCCCTGTCTGTATAGTGGGGGAGGATGATGGGCCCCCTGTCAGTGTATAGTGGAGGAGGAGGGATTTGGGCCCCTGTCTGTATAGTGGAGGAGGAGTGTTTGGGGCCCCTTTGTGTATAGTGGAGGAGGAGGGATGGGCCCCTGTCTGTATAGTGGGGGAGGAGGATGGGCCCCTGTCTGTATAGTGGAGGAGGGATGGGCCCCCCCCTGTATTGGGAGGAGGAGTGATGGGGCCCCCTGTCTGTATAGTGGACGGAGGAGATGGGCCCCTCTCTGTATAGTGGGGGAGGAGATGGGCCCCCCTCCTCTGTATAGTGGGGGAGGAGTGATGGGCCCCTCTCTGTATAGTGGGGGGGGGGAGTGATGGGCCCCCCCTCTGTATAGTGGGGGAGGAGTGATGGGCCCCCTCTGTATAGTGGGGGGGGAGGAGTGATGGGCCCCTGTCTGTATAGTGGGGGAGGAGTGATGGGCCCCCTGTCTGTATAGTGGGGGAGGAGTGTTTGGGGGGCCCCCCCTCTGTATAGTGGAGGGAGGAGGAGTGTTTGGGGCCCCTTTGTGTATAGTGGGAGGAGGAGTGTATGGGCCCCTTTCTGTCTGTATAGTGGAGGGGAGGATAGTGGGATGAGGGAGTGATGGGCCCCTGTCTGTGTATAGTGGAGGAGGAGGATGGGCCCCTGTCTGTATAGTGGGGGAGGAGGATGGGGCCCCTGTCTGTATAGTGGGGGGAGGATGATGGGCCCCTGTCTGTGTGTAGTGGAGGTATAGGGGAGGAGTGGGGGCCCCTGTCCCCCTGTGTATAGTGGGGGAGGAGTGTCTCATGGGCCCCTGTCCCTTTGTATAGTGGGGGAGGAGTGATGGGGCCCCTGTCTGTATAGTGGAGGAGGAGGAGGGATGGGCCCCTGTCTGTGTAGTGGAGGAGGAGTGATGGGCCCCTGTCTGTATATAGTGGGGGAGGAGGATGATGGGCCCCCTGTCTGTATAGTGGAGGAGGAGAGTGATGGGCCCCTTTGTGTATAGTGGGGGGAGGAGTGATGGGCCCCTGTCTGTATAGTGGAGGAGGAGTGATGGGGCCCCTGTCTGTGTATAGTGGAGGAGGAGTGATGGGCCCCTGTCTGTATAGTGGGGGGGAGGAGTGATGGGCCCCTGTCTGTATAGTGGAGGAGGAGTGTTTGGGGCCCCTTTGTGTATAGTGGAGGAGGAGTGTGATGGGCCCCTGTCTGTATAGTGGAGGAGGAGTGACCCAGTATAGTGGAGGAGGAGTGATGGGCCCCCTGTCTGTATAGTGGGAGGAGAGTGATGGGCCCCTGTCTGTATAGTGGAGGAGGAACCCCCTTTTGATGGGACCCCTGTCAACTATAGTGGAGGGCCCCTGGAAGTGTTTGGGGCCCCCCCCATAGTGGACCCCCCCCCCCCCCCACCTGCCCCTCCATCCCCCCCCCCACCGACCCCCCCCCCTCCGTCCCCTCCGCCCCCCCCACCCCCCCTCACGCTACCACTCCCCGTTACCCATCGGAGGAAACCCCCCCCCCCCCACCACCCAGATCGCCCATCGCCTCATCCCAACCCCCCCCCCAAGACCCCCCCCCCGTCCCCCCCGCCCCCCCCCCCCCCCCCACACCCCCCCCCCTGATACACACTCCCGCAACAGCCCCCACAACATCCCCCCCCATCACCCTACCCCCCGCCCACCCACCCGTGTGGGAAACTCCCCCTACCCCCCCCCCCCACACCCCCCCCCTCCCCCCCCCCCCTCCCCCCACTCCCCCACCCTCACCCCTCCTCCCCCCTCTATGGGATCGGAGGACGTTGGGTGCAGTGGGGACCCTTATTTAGTCGTGTCATGCGCCGCAAGTGCCGGGATGTAGCGCTGGTTTCAGGAACTACTCTTTCGGCATCGATAGTTCTTCACTCTGCGGTTATTTGTTCTAATATCTGGGGGTCGATTGTAACATCGGTGGACCCGAGATCCGTCTGGCCCCATTCACGGAGAGAGTAGGTGTTAGGCCAGGGGCGGGACTGACAACTAATGGCGGCCCCCCGAGCAATTGGGGATCATGGGCCCTGTGTCCTTGGCCCAACTCAAACAAAGCCTATGAAATGGGTACCAGGGGGCATTCGCATGGGGGGCTCCCACTGCTGGTACCCCGGGCCCTCGGGCAGTGCTCTTGAGTTTCCAATATGGTTCAGTCCGCCCCTGGTGATTGGATGGACGTCATCCTCTTGTATGGCAATGATGATGTCAACAATCGTATGAAGCGATTCATGAAGTCGGCTGAATTGACGATCGTTCTATTGGTG